TACCACAAAAAGAGTACAACAGCAGAACTCTACCTATCTAAACCCAGTAATTTCTTGAAGAAAACCTGTGTCTCATAAGACTTAAAGCGTACGCTTTATAGTTAAGAGGTTAGTTGGAGCACATCAGAAAATCATCCAAAGACAAAGTGATCACTGCATCTTCCTCACTGCATGAGGTACTCATGCATAAACTAACCTGTAGGCTTTTTGGTACATTCTAAAAAAATTAGTATCTCAGCTATGGCGATAGAGTGGCAGATATCTTTTAATTCTTCTATGCTACTTCACTTCAAAAAATATCACTTTAAAATGATCCCTTGAATACTAAGCCATGAGTTCTACAGATAAGTTACAGAAAGAGCCTAAACAAAGTCAAATTGAAAGCCTTAAAAAGAAAAGACATAAATGTAGATATGATGTAGGGAACCAGCCGCTATTACCAATATTATTAAGAAAAATGGCTAAGAGGAAATATCAGTATACTCAAGCTATAGATCATTTGATTACATATATATTTCATCATGTTATATCATACATATCATTATGAAATAGTCAAACAAATAAAAAAGAATAAAATTTCCCCTGCTTATATATATAAAATTATATGATTTTCTAAACTAAAATCTAATCTATAGACTTTTTATAATACTGTAATAAAAGGTCAGGGTTTTTTTCCTTCTCCACCCAACTACATTTTACACCTAGCTTTTATGTATAGTATTTGTATCTGGTATTTTTTCATTACAAACTACTTTTTCTGTTCATAATGATACCAGTTTGTTACTACTTGAATTTATGAAATTACATGAAAATAACTGCTTTCAAGTATATGTTTTCACTAGTTATTTCATAGTGATCTATAAAGTTTTGCAATGTTTTAGTGACATATTCCTATATAATATTGCAGATTTTTTTCAGTGTGATGACATAATTCTTGGTGATGAAGCAATTAATAAGAGTTAACCTTCATTATAAATTTGTCTATTTTGCATTTTAAAAGTATTCAGAAAGCATAAACTTGACTATTAAATCTCACAAAAAACTCACTCAGGAAATTACTAGTTTATTAATAATAAAAACTTGCCAACTGTTCTTCAGAGAAAGTAAGTTACACTGTTACCTACTTCTACAGGTGTCAGTAGAATGTTGGCTAATATGTAAAGAATGTTACCTGCGATACCTGCTTTGCAAAAAGTATTTGCCACAATATAAACCTGTGTGATACAGAATTCATCCAGGGAAATGCAAAGGAAGGAGAAACAGTAATCACTGAATTGCCTATGTGGAAGAATAGAAAAACTACGTAGGACTGATTGCTTCTCATGCCTGAATTTTATTTCCCAGTTACATTTTAGGTGTGATATATTTAATATCAACAATCTTCTGCTTTTGTAACTACAGTCTGGTTTTCTCTGTCATCTGTATTTAGTGGCGACTATAGCAAGAAGCAATTGTTTGTTAGTTGTAACTAAACTGAGAAGTCCATTTTTTTCTTGTCTACTGACCACCTGATTCTGGTGTATCAGGACACATAGTATAAAAATTAGTTTTCTGATGAACTGATCTGTAAACAGTTGCAAAACAGCTGTTTAGCACTAATCTCAGCACCTACAGAGCAGATCTCATTGCTTACACATCTGAAATTCAAGACAAGGATTGTTACCTTTTTCGGTAACTTTTAATTTTTTATTTATTTTTTTTTTTGCACTAGGTTGCAACTGTGACAAAGTCATTACCCTTTGTGTCATTAAATGTGTGTGTTTGGTCTCAGTCCCATTTGGTATGGACCTATTGATGAAACAGTGAGTACTGTTCTTTATATAACAGTTGAAACTTTACTCAAAGACTATAATTAAATTCCTGCTTCGCGTTCTCTGAGACGTCTCATTACAGGAATGTATTACAAAGCAGAGATTATAAATTAAATTTAAAATTTAAAAATCCCAGTGGGCTTTTGTAACAAAACTACCTAGTATCTAGTAAATTTAACCAGTGATAATTGCATACTGCCTGCAAACTACTTCTGTTTCCAAACTCTGTATGTATGTGTCTCATCTAAGAGAGAAGAAAGCTTATTTATTATGCAAAATGATTCCTCTATAGTTTATGAGTTCTTTGGGGCTTTTATTGGCTAAAAAGCAAAATGAAATGTGAGATTAAACGTGCTGGCGTGTTGGTTATTCTTTTTTAGTAAGTGGAGTTTTCATGTTTACATTCTGGCTGTTTCAATAGTTACAATTGTATAGCAAGGCTCTCCTTAATAGTAAAGCCACGCAGTGCAATCCTCAAAACATACAGAATCATACATTAATTATTATTTCCCAACTTAATGTCTAATAGTCATATAGAAGCATGTTATTCCACAGACATAGTTCATAAGAAACATGTATAAACATATATATATAAGTGCTACAAAGCAGATTCTATATATTTATCTATTTTGGTGAAAGTTAAAAAGTATACACATTTGCTATTTTAAGAGATGAAACTACATATTGCAACAAAATTTAGCTGCTCTCATTTTGCACACACATTTTATTTTATCTGGAAACTTTCTGATGTTAGGAATAGAACAACTGTAGTTTCTCATTATGTTTGCTGCCAGAATCTATGTTTGGTTGCTCAACTAAAGTTCTTATATTGCTAATTACTACCACATGCCCATATCTCAAACAAAGGAAAACTTATTGGTTCTGACAACCCATTCTCTCAACACTGAATTCCAAATGAAAACTTAAATTTTGGCCAAACATAACATTTCATCAATCTTGTTCTGCTGACTGCAAAAGCAACATCAAACAAGGGGTGCTAATGGCTTTTTACTGTGCAGTTCCCAAGCTCAGATTCTCTGATGAAAGACCCACATGAGCAAAGGACGTCTTTAAACTACTTAGTAATTAATAATCGAACCAGAAAACAATGCATAAAGTAAATCGAACAGTTTGTATGCTGATGATAGAGTTGAGTTTCAAACAACAAGTTATATGAGCAGTAGAGAACAGCAGAGAAAGCACTAACAGAATGAGCTAAAAACAAACAGATAGTGCGTATAAATAAAGACAAAAAGAAAAGGTGAAAAAATAAAATGAAGCACGCCCCAAAGCTAGCAGAAGCCTGTAATCTGGAGTTGAGTTTTCCAGGATGCGGGGTTCTGACTGAAGATCAGGTCCAAGTTTAGAGACATCTGAGCAATGCTGGGTACTAGTGACAATGTAGAAGGGGAGTGACTAAAATTCTGTACGTAAAATAGTTTTAAGCTATATTTCCCTCTGCTATAACTCCTGTGGAGCCTCAAAAAAACGAGGTGTAAGTTCTGTGTTTGAAAAACTTATGTCTTTGAGAAACTAAGTATAAATACAAGTATGAAAATGAGTAGGACTCTGTCACAAATAAACATTTTGGGAAAGTAATGATACTACTCCATCTTAGAAATAAATTAAGGCATTTTATTAATATGTGTAAGCGACTTGCAATGCAAGTTTCCAGTGTTAGTGTTTATACTAACAAAAAAATTTAGACATTTGAGGGTATCTCAAAAAATGAAGGTATTGAAGTTTTCAATTGCATCATCTAGTTGTTTGAGTATTATTGACCATACAGTAGCATATATTATAACTAAAGAAAGAAACCTTTGATTTATCCACCCCGTGATGTAGAACAGTACTCTAGAATTATCTCTGTTGGCCATTTACAGTCTTTCTGCTCCACAGAGAGGAGAAACAACCTGATAAAACCATAATCCACATTTATAAAATGATGCATGAGTGATGAATTTAAAAGAATCAAGTAAAAAAGCATATCCTCTTTAAGGAGAGGAACACTTAATTAGATGTGTTTCTTGCAGTACCTTCTATGTTATATAGTAGGGATTCTATAGGGCTAGTCTTTTAGGGCAAATGTATCTCTACCAGTGAATGTCACAATGATATGTAATGAAACAAAAGATGGCAACACTAACGATGATATAGAGGAGAAACTACCACATCGCCAAGTACATCTAGTTCGTTAAAGGCTATAACCCAGCAGGTCTAGGTGCTGGGAATGCCAGAAAGAGCTGGTTTTAACCTGGTCAAGAAAACAAGCAGGCTTTCAATAGAAATGCAATGAGGTAAAATTTAACTTTTGCTACCAGGTAAAAGTTTTTTACAGGTTTGGGTTTTTCCATAATATATTGATACTAATGGTACCATTTGCTCCTCTTAAGATAGGCTTTAGACAGCATGTGGAAGAGAATCACTTTAATATCCCTGGTCATAGATCCCAAAATCACAAGCATTTGCAATATTCATATGAAATCAATAGGAGCTGGATGAGATCCAAATCTGCTGTTTGGACTATGAGAAACAGCACTAACATACTTCTGGCATAGTCAGTCTAATGGAATAACTGGATTGACATAAATCTCGTATTTTGCATTCCAGTAAACCCAAGTTTTCTACAGAACTGAATTGTTTGACAATCATGTGAATTATCTTTGTCACTTAGTTAAGAGATGACCTTATGGTAATCTGATGCCCAAAACTGTGAAGTGACAAGTCAACCCTGTTTCAGAAGCTAACTGTATATGGAACAGCTGCATTTTTTACAAGGTATATCAGTGTAGTCCTAGGGGTATCCGGGTTCTCTTGCAGTAGGGACAAAATGTTGTGACTTGTACCATAGCATAGCCCAGGTCTCTAATTATAGTGTGACGACTCTCCAGTGGTAACATCTGATGTCAAGGAACACAGCCTTGTAAGCTGTGAGTCAGCTATTACCACCTTCAGGGGCTCTTTAAAGTCACACAACCACACCTGGTCTTTTTTGACTTACTTTCTGCCTCTGGTTGAGTTAAAAGTCCCGCCGTATTTCTTCCGATTAAGGATGAGAGCAGCAATTTCTGGCACGTAGCGAGCAAACATTGCCTACATGCATGAAACAAAAACACAAAAAAAAAAGAAAATGGCATGCAGAGAGTGTTCTACTGCAGCAGAGGCAGCAGAGCCTCTTGGGATACTTACTTTCTTCCACTAACCGCACTATAGGAACCACCATATTTCTTGCGGTTTCCTATTAACTCTATGATTTCAGGGACGTAGCTGGCAAACATGGCCTAAGAAGAAGATAGGAGACAGAAGAAAAGACTAAAAAGAGAGGCCAAAGAAAGGGGGATGATGAATATTTTCAGAAGATTTATATCTTTAAGATCTGAAAATGCAAAAGAATTAGATCTATGAAGTTGTTTAAAAAGAAAATTTTAAAAATGTAAAAGTTCTTATCAAACAAAACAAGAGGGCTCAATGCAAAAGTTGGTCTTGGAGAAGATGCATACATTATAAATTAAGAAAATGGTCAAAAGAGGAAAAATAGGCACACAAAACAAAACAAGAACAAAATTAATTCAAACTTGTATCTAATCATAAAATACAGTTATGTCTAATTCTTCCTGAAGAGGGGAGGGGAAAAAACCTATCCAAGTTCCACTGCAAAAAACAAAAACAAGTATTATCATTACTGTTACATCTCTATTTTAAAAGACAGTCTTTTTTCCCCCATGATTAGGATTCCAAAGAAGACAAAAAACAAGATGGACTCAGGGGTTATTCCCCCTGTCAAGAAACAAAAATATCACCCTCCCCGCTCCCAAAAAAAAGTTTTCCAAAAGTTCATGTTTTTAAAAGGATTGGAATAACACGTGATAGAAAAAAAGGTTTTGAGGAGAAAATAAAAACTGTTCTGCCATGTTTTGTCCAACAAACATCTTCCTTGTGGCTGGATACTTCAAAGAGCTACTGCCAGTTGACATGGTCTTTGCCTTCATATGGAAATAAACATAGATGGGAATGCATATATTTATGTTCATATCTATACTCATATATATGTATCTGTGTGTCTCATATATGGCATTCATTACATTAGTTATATACATATCACCTTTAAGATGAATGTATATATGAAATCAATATATGAGAATAAAGTAACGATATACATACATATGTATGTGCACAATATATTTTGTGAGTCATCCATAAAGCACTTACCTTGCACAGTGTTAAGTATTAAAATAAACCTTGATGTTTTAGAATAACATTGCAACAGGTTCTATAATATTACTAGCACTGATAAATAATAGAAAAGTTGACATAAGTATTAGTAAATTTGGTGCTATGCACATTCAGGACAAACACAAGAATTTGGTGATACAAAAGCACACTGGTTATGGCCATGTGATAAACTGTGAGTTAAAATTGTGCTACATGACATGAAAGGATGTTTGAAATTAAAGAGAATGTGGTTTGCCATCATCTGGATCAGGCAAGCTGCTCTTTAAGGCCGTCCAAAGCCACAGTGTTTGTTGGAATTCTGGGAAGGAACACAGAAGGGTGGGTAGGACATCTGAAACCGCAAAGTGTCTTTAAGTATCAATAGCAGCCTCAAAAAAATTCACTACAGTCAGTCACTAAAAAGTAAAGGACTACAAATAACATTATAAGTTGAAATATTAAGGCACTTCATGTATTCACATGCATTACTTATTTAAATAGATTAGAAAAATTCTGACTCTACTAAAGTGGACTAATTTAACAAGCTCTGCTAAAATATTTAACTATACAAAAAATAAAAGGGTGTATTAAACATATTTAAAAGTTTTATAATTAATTTTAATTCATGAAACCAGATATATTATCTCTCTAATTACAGCACTGAGATACACAGGATCAAGTATTAAGGTAGCCATAGTAATAATAATAATAGTAATAATAGAGGTTTTACCAATCCCCCAAGGATGAAGAAGACCATGAAAAGGCGACCAAGGGTTGTTTTTGCATAAACATCTCCATAGCCAACAGTGGACATTGTAACCATCAGTAAATAAACACATTCCCAATATGTTAGCGGTTGATTATTTTGGAAATTTTCCCATGGATCCCCTGAGTTCTCCACCTAAAATGTACAAGAAAACATATAATGAATTAATAGAGTTGTACCACAAATTACTGATATATGCTATGATATATTATTGATATATGATATATATAAAAAACCACCAAAATCCACGTCCTAGAAGATAGCATTCTCTCCCTCCTGATGTAATTAAAAAAAGCTCTTTTGTTTTTGTTTCAAAACCATAAAAGGGTAATGTTTCTATGCATTTGCCTAAAAGAGTGTAACTATGTGGTCATCTATGAATGCAAAGCATATCATAAATGAAAACATCCAAAATTTGGTGCATCTTGGTAAGAGTGAAAATTAAATTACTATCTGGTATAACGAAAAGATAAACATTCTGAATTTAATCTTATAGAGCTGGATGCAGCTCAAGGTATTTCAAGTGAAATCAATTAAATTGCTCTGGAATAACATCAATATCATTACATTCTAATATTAGTCCAAAACCATTGGTGAATAACTTACTACTATTAGCACCTTGAAATCTTCCTAAATTGATCATAAAATGTACTTGAAGGACAAATACTTAACCATATTTAATTATAGTTACCAAAAAAAAACAGTAAAAGCTATTGATTCAAAATGTTAAAAATACACAATTGATATATACCTACCATACATATGTATATTCACATTTATGAACTCATATGTACTTCTATACTGTCTTATATTTTTCAGGTATTGTTAAGTGTGGAATAAAAATCTATTACAAAACCCCTATGTTATCAGTGTCTGAAAGCTCCAGCAAAAAAGGTGAAATTTAAAACTAGAAGGAAATAATCTGTAAAAAATTTCTAACCGGAATGTTAGCAATGGCATTAATTCTCGTGGAAACACAAAACTGCTTTTTTTCTGGCACAACCATTGATTTGCCAGGACCTCATTTCCCAATTCAGCTTTGCCAACCCCTTCCAGGAAGCACTCTGGTAGTTATTTAGGGAACATTGCCACCTACTGGTAAATTGTAATTATTCAAGAAGTTGCATCAGTTCAAGTCTCATATTTTATAGCTGAGGTTAATGATTTATTACTTACTATTCAGAATCAGTTTTGAGTAGAAGCCTAAAACTCGGGAAGCTGTGATGTCTTTTTTTACTGTACTCTATAGATACGTTAAGGTATTACCCACAGCAAGGCAATGTCAGGTAATAAAGTAGCCCACAGAACATACAATCCACGAGAAAAAGTCAATGAAGTATTTTCAAATATACTTACCAAATGTATGAACCCAGCTGCTGTCAGCCACGTGCTGATAAATATAGAGCACAGATTCACTAGCTTGATGGAGTTACTGAAAATAAACAAAACCCAACAATAAATCGAAACTTAGACTGGAATTTATCATGTATTTTTAATATGTACCTGTATACAACTGCATAGTTTAGACTGAAAAAGTCTGATGATTATTTCTGAAGAGGTGCAGGTTCCCTGAAAAAAAACTTAAAAGCCTCTGCAAAATATGTATTATTTTGTCTTTCCAGACTTCACATTTGCACAATTTAGATAGCTTGAAAGAAAATTTCCAACGCATTTAAGAGCAGAATGAAAAATGGAAACCTCAGCTACATCTGTACTCATAAACAAACCAATAGAAATAAATAATGCTTTTCCACAAATAATTTGGTTGCCTCTTGGTACACTCACCTTCTCATTTTTCATTGCTATACACACCTCAACAATTATTTCCATGAAAATATTCTACTTCCCTAGGATACATCCACGCAGGTCAAATGATTAAGCTGAGCAAAGGCACTTGACTTTAGCTGCTGAACACTGCACTTACACATAGAATGGACTGATGGTTCTTAAATTATTTCAGTTTTCATTAGCTTGTATGCTTCTTCTATATTCATTATGCTTTTGACCCCAGAACCATGGAAGATTTAAAATTAACAGTAAAGGATGTTTTTGTTGCATGGTCACCAAGTGTTAACATTTGAGTACATGAGCACAGAGCAAAACTATTTCCCTACAGTTATAGCAAACGATTAATGAACTATTGGAATCTGTAAATGTCATGCTATTTTTGTGAAAAAAAAAATAAAAAAAAAATTCCAAATTAAATAACAAAAAAAAAAAAAAAAAAAAAATCCAAATTAAATAACGTAGGTACACACTTTCTGTGTAAAGTCCTAAGTAATTTCCATATTATTGTGCTTGCATGAACTTCTATGGACTTTGTAGAAATTCATACAGAGCTAGCATATTTCTTACTTCACATCCACGTGAGTCCAAACTCTGCAAACTCTCTTTATTCCCACTGAGTAGTATGTTCCCTATTGTAGACAGAAGTTACTTTGATGCAAAGACCTCAGTTCAGCAGGAAAATACCATACTTAAAAGCTTACGGAAGACATGCTCACTCTCTTCTTACAAAAACCACTATGATTTTAAAAGCTAAGAGGGATATTCAATAAATACACAGGGAACTGAAGCCCATGTATTTCTGTGTCTAAATAATCTTCCCCATTCATGGAACTGTATTTGAAATAGCTCTCCCTTATTTTTGAAAACATTTCTAAGAAAGAATAATGCCTTAGCAAAATCACTGTTATTCCTAAAGCAATACATTAAAAAAGAATAAAAATTGGGAAAAATTCACTATCAGTGTTGGTAGTAGTAGTTTTGCAATAGAATTATTTAATATTTCTGTTTATAACTACTTTAAGGATAATAAAAAAATGCATTATTTTATAAACAAAATTGAGAAATTAACATGGAATATTAACCTGACTAGCTCCATTAAGAGTTACAGTTAGTGAAGTGGGCAACTGTGGCTACCATGGAATATTAACCTGACTAGCTCCATTAATTAAGACTTACAGTTAGTGAAGTGGGTAACTGTGGCTAGTAGGAAAGAAATAGAATTGGGTAATATGACAGATGCTGTAATGAATACTGCACTCAAAAATAAGATAATATACCAGCAGTTCTGCAATTAATTAGCTGTCACCTACATCAACACATATTCCCTATTTCTCTCTTTCTTAAGGTATGGTTGATTAAGGTTCATATTTTGTTGGTGATAACGTCCAGTCATAGCACAGGACCCTAAACAACAGGTTCCTGGATTAAACAAAAGGACAGAAATCATTTTGTTTACTTTGCAAAGCTCTGTTATGAAAGGCTAAATATCATCCTTCACCTGAACTTAGAACAGAAGGGGAGCCTGATACAACAAAGTGTCAGTTGGTCTCCACATATTACCATAATACAAGTAAATGACAGTAGTCATTAAAAATAACCACTTAAATTACTTGTTTGGTACATTTTATTTTTGCAGATTTATTAAACATTGTACCTTATCTCTCCTCTCTGAAATACTCCTGTGTTTCTGCCAGAGTCTAAATATAGATGAAGGATTAGTCACAAACATTTTCCTGCTCTTTAAGCTCTTTCCAACATCTGTGCAAAATCCCTCACTGTGAGCCCTGCCTAAGCCTCTGTAGTTTTGTTGAAAAATATTAGAAAACAGTGAAGGAAAGAAATCTTCAGCTAACACCACACAATTCATTCTATTTCACAAAACACAGAAAGAAAGAATATTGAGTAAAATACATTTTATTTTAAATTAAGTAAACAAATAGATCCTTGGCAGAGTACTTTTAATCTGCAGCAGCAAATTTTTGCTTTGCCTTATTGGTTCTTTTAAAATATAATTAATAATTTTTCAGATAATCTAATAATTATCTAGCACTCCCACACTACTTTGCTAGTCTTCTTACTGCCTCTATGTTTGCATTGTTTAGCTTCTTTCTTTGGATTCCAGTATTTGGAAAGGTCCCTCTGCTCATTGTGTAAATAATATATGTTCCTTTAATCCTCACATCTCAGTCACTAATTTCAGGAGTAAATTACAAGTGAGACTAAATCTTTTTCTTTAGTGGGAGAAAAAGGAAAAGGACAGAATTTCTTCTCTAATCACACCAAATACTAAAACCACAGCAGTGCCATTTTTACGCTAGCAGTTTCTTGTCAGTAGTTACTTGTTATTAATGCCAAGGACATTAAAATGCCTCTAGTCAAAAACAATCATACAAGGAAGCTCTGCTTTACGGGCTTTCTAATAATCAATATTTGGGTTTTACAGATATTTGGGCATCCATATGAACAATCACAGAAATTATGATATCTAATCTAAGAGTAAATTTTGCACCAGATAAATGCTATTTAAACGACAAATTTCAAGGTCAATCTTGAATAAGCCAGCTCTGAATACAATGAATGTGATTAATGCAGTATCCCTTCATTTATGGATCTGGAATTTTACAAATCCACCCAGGCTTTTAGCTTTTATCCAAAATGCTTTGAGTTTATGGGGCTTTTCCATTTCTTTGGGTGAGGTTGTTCTGTGTAACTGCAAACTCATTGGATATTCTGAGCTCCTGCACAAATTACTCTTCTATACCACACTGGCAGCATTCTAAGCTACTGGACTGCATTTTCACTGCAGGTTCTTTAATTTCTTTGTTAAAAAAAAATAAAAAATGGATTCCTATCAGTCACAGGGTTAAAGACAGATAGTGTGAGAGATTTACAGCAAAGAGAATAGTTTCAAGGTTAAGTGTTGAAGAAACAGCTGTTTACCATGAGTGTGTACAAATCTCAAAGATCCATTTCCCCATCATTACTAATTAACATAGCAAATAAATGGAGTTACTTGCATACAATGCCTTTACACATGCATCATCAAGTGGTGGAGAGAGCAAAGGATTTCAGAAGGAAACTGCAGTAATTATTGGAAGCTGGGTTCAATACTTCTGCTGGGGCATTTTAGGGAACAATGAAAGGCAATGTGTTTTCAACTGTGAAGCATGGGAAGGTTCCTTCTCCCCCTGCTTCAACAAAGTGATCTTTTGTTTAAAGTTGTGCTCCTTCTCCACAACTTTCATGTATTAATAGCCTGAAGAATCAGTGAAAGTCAGAAGGTTACTTGGAATATTTTAAACATTCTTTGAAAGAAAAGCTAATTACAATGAACGTAATATAAAGATAGCTGAGTGTAAAATTAATTTTTAATATGTTTTTGATGTGAAAAAGGATGCTCAGTTCAAAAAAACTGAAATAGAGCCGTAATGATTATGCCTCAAAATACTTAGCTGTATTCTGTTCAATGAATTGTGAGTCCATAATACAGACTCATAATATGGAAAGAAGCAATATTTTATCATTGCAGATCTCTAATTCATTCTGCTTTTAATTTATGAGCACTCAGTCTTGCTCAGATATTTCAAATGTAACAACACATGAAGTAAAATCTTCTACTGATCACATGTCAAAAGAAGCTGACATTGATAAATTATTCATCAGCAGAAAGAGGTTTAGAAAACACATAACAAGTGGGGTTTTTTCCAGAAAAGAAAATAATATATTACTATGACCACAAACCTAAGCCATTTATGTTCTGTCACTAATGTAACTAACTCAGTATGTAAGAAAAGATCTTACCTTGTTTTAAGGATATTCAGAAACTGCAAAATTTCTGAAAATTGTATCAGTCTAAGAGCTCTTAAAAATCTTAAACCTGCAGAAAAGGAAAAAAAAAAAAAAACCTCTAGTAAAGAATAATTCAAATTATAACAACATTTTACTTACAATGACAGTGATCAATGAAATCAACATAGGTAGCATACAAAATGTCAAATACCTTTGAAATGTTCTTCCATATTTAAAGGTTCCAAGATCCTTACCAGGTCTTTTTCAAATTGTTTTAAACTTATTTCCTTAATAGTTGAACTATCCTCCTAGAAAACCTTAGTTTATGTAGGGAGCCATGGGAGAAGACACATAGCCTGAAAGCTTAGGGGAAAAAAACCCTCCCTGATGTTCTGTTGGTAGTTCTAGTGCACATGTCCTTCTCTTCCAGGTGGTCAAAAACACACACAGGTCTGAAACTCCTCTGTCCCCCAAGCTCCCACATTGCTTAGTGAAAAATAAGAGATTATGGACAAGAGATCTGATAACCTGGATAAAGTAGATGGTGTATATGCCTGATTAAATTGATAAACCTTAATGACGTAAAATCTTTTATGATAATAATGCTCCTTATCTCCAGCCAAATTTCCAAAAACTCAAGCAGGACAACAGAGGAACGACACATTCTCTCCTAAAAATGACAAATGTACTATAATTCTTTCCATCAGACTATAACTACAGGAATAGGTTACACTTTGACTATTAAATAAATAACTATTTGTGTAAAGAAACAGCATTTTTGTGTTGCAATCATTGCATGAATAGCAATTTCCAGACAACTGCAAAGCCAGCGAGACAGACCCAGAGTGTGTGCAAGAGAAAATGCTATAGAAGATTAAGGGCTTAAATTATTAAAAGAGACTGATGCTGATAGTAAATAATTTGGCTGCAGATCTTTGGCATATGAATAAAAGTACATTGTGTATTATACACATGCACAGCTTATAAAAATTAAAATAAGGCTTTGAGGATAATTTTTATTAGACAGTACAGCCAGGAGTTACATAAAAGTTGTGTAACATGGTATTGCAACTGCTACAGTTAGGTCCAAAACTGCTGCTTCTCATACTTCCTCTTTATTGATATTTATTCTACCCACTTCTAGTACTATAAACTACTTTTTATTTCCAGAAACTTAAGGAAAGACTGGTCCTAGCAAACATATAAACACTGTCACAACCTTCATCATCTCAGTGTAGTTGAGAGATTCCCCTCAAGAGCAAAGATTCATGTGGTGAGATGTCTTTAAATCATGGCTTTACTTGCAGTATTCTCGGGAAGTTGTTAAATAAAACTTTTACTTTTGTTAAGGCTCATAAGTAGCCTTAAAGTAGAAAATTACTCTTGTCTGTGTATTACATGGATACAAAGTTTCTTTTTAATTACTGGCAGTGGGGAATTCTGAAGATAAATTACAACTTGAAAACTGGATTTGGAGATCTAGATGAAAAGCAACAGAAGACGCTCAATAATTCTAAACTTCAGATCCATTTACAATTAGTGGATGATTATTTTGGATTACAGTGCTGAAACTGAGAGACACGTCCCTCCGCTCCACTTGCAGTAGGTCCCACAGTTGCTACTTCTACCCAAAGAGATGTGGCTGTGATGGCGAGGACCTTTACTAGCAACCCTAAACTTCCTCAGCTTTGTTCATTCAGCTATCTCCTTCACTCAACTCTCTAGGAACTTTTTTGAAAAATGGCTAGTGGGAGAAAAATCCTTCCTTTCAAACACTTTGCATTGCATCTGCAGCTAACAAGATGTTCAAGTTACCCATTGCAATGTTTCAGAAAGAAGCCTGAGAAAAACCAAAATTAGCAATAAAACAAAATCTCTATCTCCAAACTCTTAAAATGCTTCAAGATGTATTTTAGTTGAGATATGAAATTATAGAACACAAAGACTATGTCTTCGATATATTTTTTTGTGGAAGAAGAAAATCATAATAAATTATGTTCTACATTTGCTACAGCCTACACTGTTTTAAAGACTTCAAGATGTGTTTTAGTTGAGATATGAAATTATAGAACACAAAGACTATGTCTTTAATATATCTTTTTGTGGAAGAAGAAAATCATAATGGATTATGTTCTACATTTGCTACAGCCTACACTATTTTAAAGAATTCCCTTCAGAGAACAGAATTTAAAAATTAAAAAAAAAAAAATTTTTAAAAAAAGTGGAGAGTTTGCTTGCTTACCTGAACCACAAATTAAACATGCTGGTTAATTTTAAAAGGTTACAATCACCTTGTAACCTCTGTATCTTGTTAAGGACATTATTTGTGGGCCTGTACTTTATAGCTAAAGGAATCCTTACACAGAAAGGGTCAAATTTTGATCTTCAGAAACCTCAGTGTACTACCAGCTTTGTGTGGTTCATATATGAATACCAAAAATAAAATATAAATAATAGCTTTACTTATCATGATGGCAAACATTTCATTATTCTACTCTTTTCAAGACCCAAACAGTTCTGTTATTTGGTTCCTACACGCATGTCATTTTATATGGTTTTCTGTACTTCCTGTCTTGCAAATAATCTGTGCATTTCATCATCCTAGCAAGAAAGCGGTATTTAGTAAGAGCCTCTTGATAGGCATAAGCTTTATCAAGCACTACCAAAAAAGCACTAAGAAAAGACAGATTCTCTAGATGAGATACTGAAAATTTCATAGACAAACTACCATGATTCTGTATGATGACCTCTTCATATTTTATAGACAATGTGTTTATATTCAATTAGCTTTTGCAGAAACATCAGTCATGTTAAAAATACTGAATTTTTGTATTTATTATAAAACATATTCTGTATTAGTCGAAGAAGTCCTCTTGTAAATCAGCATATACAGGAAATAGAGACTAGGAAAACCCTTCATGACAATACACCTTTGAAACCTATAAAAATTATGTATTTGAAATATTTTCAATGCCCATTAAAATTATATTGTCAGTTTTGCTTCAAAGGACCTCCAATATAATGGAATATAATATTATTTCCAGCTATGTAAAGGCATCCCCTCACATAAATTTCATCAGCAAAATGAATATTACAGGAAAACACTTCTGTTTGCCCTGCTAGTTCACTGCTCCTCAACAGGTGTTGAACAAGGAGTACGATCTGCCTCAGTGGGACAGAGTGTTAGGGTGCTGGATTTAGTAATGAATCTACTGGTTCAATTCTGAGCTTTACAATCCCCTTCAGTAGAAAATTTAGCCAACTGAAGACTTTGAAATCCATTTGACGTTGACTGATATCAGAGTCAAGGAGAACATGGATCAGGAGGAAACAGGCAGAGACTGGGAGTATCATTCTTAGTATAAACCATGGTGAGAAGGGCAGACAGTCTGCAAATAGGGCTAAAAGGCTTATAGTTGAGCAGGGAAGAAGCATGTCTGAAGTAGAAAAATAAGGAGTATTGTTGCTTTTGGAGTGAAACCCACTACACCTGCGGTGTTTACCATCATAACACTATTATCACAAAGAGCTGGACAACCAAAACAACTCTACACAGTAGGGCGAAATTAGACTGTATGATGCAACAGTGTCCATAGCTCCCCAGTAGGTTATATCACATGAAGACTTTGCCTGGTCTACTGGAAACATCCAGTAATACTAGCTGAAGGGAAACAAGGGAGAACAGAGGACTTCCCATTCTCGAATAGTTATTTCTAATGCTTGACTATGAAAGAGTGCTGATTTTGAATGAATGTGTTTGACTCTAAAATATTTAACAGCATCGACTGCTTGACCTTCTAGTAAATTGTGAGCATTTTGAAAGACTGGGGCTAATTCAGAAGTTTCAGCCTTATTCTTCACATAGACTACAAAAAGCTGCCGCTAAAAATAAACTGTAAGCATAAAACTCAAATGAAATTAGTTTGCCCCCAAATGTATAATTACTTATATCACCTTGAACTTAGCAAGGGGATGATGAATCAACTGAATAATTCCCAGAGGAAAAGTCCTCACAGCACTTCATTCAGCTGCTGGTTTTACTGATATGTGAAGTGTGTGTGCAATCATACATGCATCTGTAAATTGATGACACAGTAATCCTCACAGCAACAACCATGTTGCAATGAGACTTGTCAAACTAAAAATGGCCTAAATTATTCAGTAGATAACTTACTATGAATCTACACAAGATTAAAATTAAAACTCTTGGCTGAATTTATGCTTCCCACTGGATTAATAAACAGCAACAATCGGGATTACCCATAGGTTACAAACCCCCCCAAAAAAGGAAATTTACAATTTTAAATCTGTAAAGAGGAAGAGGAGGAAATCACGACAACTAAAACTATTTTTCATTAATGAGATTCTGAAAAATAGAAACAGGAATTGGGATATTTTTTCATTCAAAATGAGAGGTCAATCTACCAGAACACCATCAATCATCACATTATTTCTCATCAATAAGATACATAATCCCTTTCTTATTACTATACGTTGCTTTTTCTGTCAATAGCACATCCAATATCTTGATGTAAGGATTCAGTCCACAGAGATTCTGTATACCATTTCTACTCCTGACAAACCATTCAACCATTCATCAAAATGATATCTTCATAAAACCTATGAATGGCTACTTCTACCCTATATTTGATTACGACCATATGGTTTACTGAAGACTGAAAAAAAACAGAATCCATATTTAGGAAATGAGAACCTTTTCTGAGATTCATATAATGGAGGGATAATTTTTAGGATACAAACTAATCCTATCCTGAACGCCTTCACACAACAGAACAAAGCAACCTGAGATTCCACTCCCTGTAGATAGGTTTAAAAATGAAAGCTCAAAGAACAAGACAAGAAGAAATAGCATGGGAGGAAAAGAATCAACCATTCCTTGGAAACAACACAGCCAAAATACTTTGATACGCTTCCCTGCACCTGTTAGACAAGTGGACAAGCAGGGAATATAGCCCACAGCATGAAAAAAATCAATATCCTATGAACCAGGACAGCAAAACTGCATCAAGTTCAGAATGTACATAGCTTGTATACTAATTGTTTTCAAACAATGCTGTACCAAACACA